CTTGTGACCTCTCCAATCTCAGCCCATTCTTTACCCCATGGTTTATCCTGGCACCACATTCCAGGTCCACAGACTTTCATGTCCTCTGACACCCCATGAATCTCCTATCTCTGGCCTTTGGATCCCTATCCGCAATGATTATCCCCACCAGTTCTGTCTGATTAACTCCTACTCATTCTTATAGGACCAAGCCTTTGCAAATACAGCCACCTAAATTATGCCGCCCCCTTCATTATTTCTCTCATAACAACACCATGTTTTTCTTTCAGTGGAACTGCAATTAGTAATTACATTTGTCTGTGCATTTGTTTTATTGTGTCTTTCCCCAAGTAGACAGCGAACCCATGAGGAAAGGAACCACCTCTCTTTTGTTCACCTGCATCCCACTGGCTGGCGGCATGCTTGGCTCTGTGCCCCTTGTTTCCCTGGAGACCGTTCACTCACTCACCTTCCCTGTGTGTCCTTTCAGGCTTGAGATGTTCTCTAGGTTTGTGGTGGTGTAAACGTGAATCACATTTCCATTGACTGCAGCAAACAGGTGACCTCCATTGCTAAAGGAACACTACAGGGAAAGACAGCAGGAGAGCAAGCAAGCAGGAAGCGAGCAGTCTAATTAGAGGTTACAGTCAAGAGGTGATTTTCCCAAGAGTTTGGACTGAAACTACATGTGAGGGTGGGAGTGGGGGTAAGGTGCAAATGAGATTGAGGAGTGGCTGACATTTTCAGACACTTTCACTATTCCTGTGACTCATAGTGGCCAGATGCTGACACTGCCAGGCCCACAAATCATGAAGCCGTTGGGACCACAAGCAGTCATTTTGCCTGTAGAAGCACGTTTTAGAGCGGGGGAAGTAATTCCTGAAGTCATTGCCTTGTTTGTGCAAGTCACCTTGGGGAAAGCTGATGAGCTCTTTCCTGCCTCTCACCATTGATGCTTATTTTTCCGTGGCTCCTGTCTCCAACCTCACCTTCCTAGCTGTGACTCTGATTCTGAGATTACTTTTCTTTTAAAATATGTGTTAATACTCCACCATTACAGACAGGACTTATCATAGTGGGGATCTCACAAGGTTTTAGGTTCAATGAAATAGTCTGGTGGACATAAGAAAATGGGGATGGAACCATATACTCAATAAGGTTGCTGGGAAAAGAACTGGATTTCCCCCTCCCCACTTTTTTAAGCCACTATAGTTCTCCAAGACAGATTTTGGTCCCACCTCCCCAGACCATGTTAGTTCCTGATATTTCAGCCGTGGCTTTCTAAGAAACTGGACTTTTGTCTTCAGCAGTTTTTTACCTCTCTGCATCCTCTAACAGAGTATTCTTTGAAAGAACGTATATCATCAATGAGTAGATTCATGAGGCGTAGTTTGTCAGCAAACCCTACTACAATGAAGTGTCCAGATGGATGAAGGCTGATGGAATATGCCTCTTCTTGGTATTCCTTGAATAGTTCCAGAGTGCTGTGAAAAAGATCAATTACTGAATTGTAAGCCTAGCTCACTAAATCCCTCCAGTCATCCACTGTATCTGATATATGTTGTTATCATAGTATTTGAGATACACTACTATTTGCAATTGTTGGTTCCTCTCTTTTCTAGATTTTGGTTATGAGGGTATAATGTCCAGCATGGAGCATGGTAGATAAGGAGACTGGTCAAAGTGTGGTCTAGCAATGCTGAAGACATAGCTCTGTTTAGATTCCAAAATTCATGAGTATTGTCCAAGTATTTTTTCCCTAGAAGCCCCAGAAGTTGTACACAAGAACAAAGAAAACAGTGGGGGGTGGGAGTCCAACTAGGGTCGGAGCTTCCCAGGGAAGCTGTGCCAGAAGGTAAAATCTGGGTTAGGATAGTGATGCCCTGGGAGAAAGAGGAGAAAGAAAGGGTCTGGAGAGCTCCCTGAAGCAAAGAGCAGTTCCTGTGGGAAACAAGGGGATAGGAGAGCTGGAGGGACACAGGAGTTTATGTAAGAAGGTGAGAGACTGGGGTGTTATCTTCATATCTTCACGTCCCCAGTGTCTGGCATGTGGTAAGCATTAAATAAACCACAAAGTAGTTTTCTAGCCCATGCAAGAGTGAGAAACAGGTAGGCTGACTGACTTGATTTTTAAAAAATCTTTTCCAACTGAAAGCTTCTAAGTAATTAAAGTTTGAAACACTGTAATTAAAATAATACACATAAACAAATTAACAACTGGAGTCTTGCATATTAAAGTAGGCAAGTCTTTCATTCCTTACTTTGTTTCATAATTCCAAATGCGGATGGATCGATCCAGAGAACAGGTGGCTATGAGGGGTTTGCGGATGCAGGTAGCTAGACCGGTGATGGGTGCTGAGTGCAATGGATACATCAAATACTCAAAGTGAGCAGGCTCCCCCTAGAGAAATCATACAGAACAAGATCCCGCAGAGTAAGCAAAAGGCTGGCTGTACATGTCAGCTCTAATTAGTTCCCAAGAACATTAATTAGCCTGGGTGCACAGAAATTAGGCTGCGGCTAAACTGTTTGAATATTATGCATATTTTCCTGAGCCAATATTATTATTTTATTTTATTTTATTTTATTTTTGAGACAGAGTCTTGCTGTGTCCCCCAGGCTGGAGTACAGTGGTGTGATCTCAGCTCACTGCAAACTCCACCTCCTGGGTTCACGCCATTCTCCTGCCTCAGCCTTCTGAGTAGTTGGGACTACAGGCACCTGCCACCATGCCCGGCTAATTTTCTTTATTTTTATTTTATTTTTTTGTATTTTTAGTAGAGACAGGGCTTCACTGTGTTAGCCAGGATGGTCTCGATTGCCTGACCTCGTGATCTGCCTGCCTCAGCCTCCCAAAGTGCTGGGTTTACAGGCATGAGCCACCATGCTCGGCCGAGCCAATATTATTTTTAAACATTATTTTAATGGCAATAAAATATTTTCTTCAATGGATATCTTTGAATTTAATTTAACCCTTCCTCTGCTGTAGGAACATTTAAGTGGCTTCCAATTTTTGTTATTTATTATAGGAATAACACTAGACTAAATATCCTTGTACAAGTCTTTGTGTATCTCTCTGATTATTTCCTTAGCATACATTTCTAGAAGTGGAATACTGGGAAAAATTGTATGAATGATTTTTAAGGATCTGGATAAGTAATTTTCTCTCTGGAGAGAGTGTACTAATTATCACCAGTAGCAAATGAGAGTTGGATGGATGATTTTAAATTGAAATGCATCCTACTGCACTGGTTATGTAGGTTACAGATGTCTGTCATCAGAGGCATTGTTTCTGGAACACCTGAATGAGGAGTGATCGTTGGGAAATTTAATGAGATGTACATATTTAGGTCTGTTCACAAGCTAAGACAAAGGCTGAAATGGATTTTTTTCTTTTTTTTTTTTTTTTGCAAATTCTACCCCTCTGCCACTTATAAATTTATCTGCATCCACTCTATCCTACCCTAGTATGTCCCATCCAAGTACTAACCAGGCCCGACCTTGCTTAGCTTCTGAGATCAGATAAGATCAGGTACATTCAGGGTGTTATGGCTGTAGACCCTGCTATCTCAGAGAAAGAGATGCTATGCTGGGTAGGCAGGCACAGGCTATTGTTATTCTTCTCCATCTGTTACCCTTTCTTTCTCCAATATCTTCGACCTGCCTGTCTCTATGAGCACATTCCTAGTAGCTTTTACACACTCAAATCTCTCTTGTCTTAAAAACAAAAGCAATGCTCTTGCTTCCTCCTCTGCCTGAGGAGTCATGTAATGATGGGGAATCACACAAGTGGGCTTACTGGTTTCACTGTGAATGCATGATCACAAACCTTCAGTGGGCATTTAACCCTGCCTGGTAACTCTACCATATTTTTCAGTAAATTCACTTTCTAAATAACCAAGATAAGTATTTCATACTATTTATTCTCTCTTTTCAAACATTCCAACCTTTTTCTTCCAATTCTAAATCTCGTCTGATGACATTATCTTGTATTTCCTTGATTTCTGTATCTTTGTTTTCATTTTGCATCTCAGAAGCAGACTTGCAGAGATCATAAATTCATGTAAGACAAATTTTATTTTATTTCACTCCTTTCTTCCTCAATTTTTACTTTTGTTCCTCCCTATGATAAGTAGGCACCAACAAATGGTTTTTATGTATGTCATTGATTATATATAGATGTGTTTAATATTTCTATAAATGACATTGTGCTTCAGATCTCACTCTGTACCTTTACTTTTTTCTCAACATGATATTTTTGAGGAATCATCTATGTTGCAGTATGTATAATTTGCTTCTAACTGATGTTTGATATTCTACAATATACATCTAGCTACTTTACTTCTCCATTACCACTAGGGATGAACATGTGGATTGTCTTCAACTCTCCATTGCTACAAACACTATAGTGAATATCTTTGTCCATGTTCTTTTTTTTTTTTTTCTTTTGAGATGGAGTCTCGCTCTGACCGCCAGGCTGGAGTGCAGTGGTGTGATCTTGGCTCACTGCAACCTCTGCCTCTCAGATTCAAGTGATTCTCCTGTCTCAGCCTCTCGAGTAGCTGGGACTACAGGCACACACCAGCATGCCCAGTTAATTTTTGTATTTTTAGTAGAGACGGGGTTTTACCATGTTGGCCAGAATGGTCTCGATCTCTTGACCTCGTGATCCACCCACCTCAGATTTCCAAAGTGCTGGGATTGCAGGCATGAGCCACCAAGCCCGGCCTGTGCATGTTCTTTAATGGCTCTGTAGGATCAAATTCCTGGTATGTATCCAGTGCAGACTACTGGATAACAAGGTACATCCATTCTCTATTTGACCAAGAACTATCAGATTCCTTGCTAGAATGGTTGTATCAGTTTACACTCCCATCATCGCCATATTAGGATTATCATTCTCCCCTGTCCTCAGAAATCTCTGGTAATAACTGGATTTTTAATTTTTGACAATATAATAATGAAACTTCTTATAAAGAAGCATCTCAGAGTTGTATTAATTTGCATTTTTCTGTTCACAGGCAACAAAATTCCTTATGGCAGCACCCAAAGGCTTGAAATTAGCCATTCCAAGTGTGTCCAAAAAACTAAAGGAAACCATGACTAAAGAAGTAAAGATAGAAATGATATGCATCAAATAGAGAATAATAAAAGGATCCCATCAATATAGGGATAGACTGTAAGAAAATAGAAATTCTAGAGTTAAAAAGTACAATAACTGAAGTGAAAAATCCACTAGAGGCGCTCAATAATAGATCTGAACTGGCAGAAGAATCAGTGAACTTTATAAATCAATAAAGATTAAGCAATTTGAAGAACAGAGAGGAAAAAGAATTACAAATTTACAGAGCCTCAGAAAAATGTGGGACACCATTAAGCACACCAACTAATGCATAAGGTGAATGCTAGAAGGAGAGGAGAAAGAGAAAGGAGCAGAAAAAAACATTTTCATAAATAATTGCTGAAAATATTACAAATTTATTGGGAAACATCAATGTACACATATAGGAAGCTCCATGAACTCCAAGTAAGAAAAACACAAAGAGATCCACAAACAGACACATTTTGGTAAAAATAATGAAAGCTGAAGACGAGAAGAAAATTTTGAAAGCATCGATAGAAAAATGACTGATCACTTACAAAAGGGTCCCAATAAGATTAATAGCAGATATCTCAGCAACAACAATGGAAGCCAGAAGAGAATGGGATAACATGTTCAAAGTGCTTAAAGAAAAAGCTGTCAAACAAAAACTCAGCAAAGCTATCTTTTAGAACTGAAGGTGAAATAAAAACATTGCCAACAAAAACTGAAAAAATATGTTGCTAGCAGATTTGACTTACATGAAATACTAAAGGAAATCCTTCAGGTTGACAGCAAGTTACTCCAGATAGTAATTCAAATCCACACAAAACAAAGAGCACTGGTTAAGGTAATTATAAAAGACAATATAAATATATATTTCATCATCTTTTAGCTGATTTAAAAAGCAATTGTATGAAATAATATGCATATAATATACTGTTGTGCCTATAACATATAGAAATGTAATATATTTCCCAGTAGTGGCACACAAATGATGAGTGGGAACAAATGTGTATTGGATTAAAGAAATGACTTCAATGGTAACTCAAGCTGAAGGAACAAATGAAGGGAACCAGAAATGATAGTAAAGGTTAACATAAAAAGACTATAAATATATAATTGCTCCCCATTCTGACCTCAGCTTCTTTAAAAGATATACAATTATATAAGGTAATAATTATAAGAATATAGGGGTTTGTAACACTCATAGATGTACTATGTATAACAGTAATAGTATTAAAAAGGGGAAAGGGAATGTAGCTATATGGCAGTAACATTTCTATATGTTACTAGCATTAAGTTAGTATGAAATTGAATCAAATTGAATTTGACTATAATGAGTTAAAATGTGTATGGTAAGCCCTAAGAAATAATTAAAAGTATATAGGGAAAAATAAAGATACTAAAATACTACATTAAAATTTTACTTAATGTGAAAGAAGGCATAAAGAAGAATAGAACAAAAATCCCATGATACACAAAAAAAGGTAAAATAGTAGACATAAATTCAACTATGCCAGTAATAACATTAAATGTGAATTGATTAAACAATCCAATCAAAAGTCAGAGATTGTCAGGCTGAATAAAAAAAAAGATTAAATTATATGATGTTTATAAGACATAGTTTGGAATCGAAGATACAAATATATTGAGAGTAAAAGGATGAAAAAAGATATACCATACAAACAGCAACAACAAAAGTGCTGGAGTGGCTATAGTAAGATCAGGCAAAATAGGCTTCAAAATAGAAAACGTTACTAGAAATAGAGACATATTTTATAATGCAAAAATCGTCAACCCATCAGGAAAATATATTAATTGTAAAGATATGTGTATATAAAAATAGAGCACCCAAATGCATAAAGTAAAAATTGTCAAGAATGAAGAGGAAAATAGCTCAACAGTAAGAGTTGAAGATTGCAATATACCACTTTTTTTTTTTTTTTTTTTTTTTTTGAGATGGAGTTTTGCTCTTGCTGCTCAGGCTGGAGTGCAATGGCACGATCTCGGCTCACCACAACCTCTGCCTCCCGTGTTCCAGCAATTCTCCTGCCCTAGCCTCCCGAGTAGCTGGGATTACAGGCATGTGCCACCACTCCCAGCTAATTTTTTTGTATTTTTAGTAGAGACAGGGTTTCACCATGTTGGTCAGGCTGTTCTCGACCTCCGGACCTTAGATGATCTGCCTGCCTCAGCCTCCCAAAGTGCTGGGATTACAGGTGTGAGCCACCACACCTGGCCTTTTTTTTTTTTTTTGAGATGGAGTTTCACTCTCATTGCCCGGGATGGAGTGCAATGGCATGATCTCGGTTCACTGCAACCTCTGCCTCCTGGGTTCAAGCGATTCTCCTGCCTCAGCCTCCCAATTACAGACATGCACCACCAAGCCTGGCTAATTTTGTATTTTTTTTAGTAGAGATGGGATTTCTCCATGTTGGTCAGGCTGGCTGTGAACTCCTGACCTCAGGTGTTCCACCGACCTCGGCCTCCCAAAGTGCTGGGATTACAGGCATGAGCCATCACAGCTGCCCATGCAATACACCACTTTCAAAAACAATCAAGACAAACAGGCAGAAGATAACAAGAAACAGAAGACTCGAACAACACTAAAAACCAACCGGACCTAACAAACGTATATAGAACACCCAACTCAATAATAACAGAATGTACAGTCTTCTCAAGTGCATAAAGAGCAGTCTCCAAAATAGATTATACGCCAGACCAAAAACAAACCTTTTTTTTCTTTTTTTTTTTTTTTTGAGATGGAGTCTCGCTCTGTCACCCAGGCTGGAGTGCAGTGGCCGGATCTCAGCTCACTGCAAGCTCCGCCTCCCGGGTTTACGCCATTCTCCTGCCTCAGCCTCCCGAGTAGCTGGGACTACAGGCACCCGCCACCTCGCCCGGCTAGTTTTTTGTATTTTTTAGTAGAGATGGGGTTTCACCGTGTTAGCCAGGATGGTCTTGATCTCCTGACCTTGTGATCCGCCCGTCTCGGCCTCCCAAAGTGCTGGGATTACAGGCTTGAGCCACCGCGCCCGGCCAAACAAACCTTAATAAATGTAAAAGAACAGAAATAATACAAAATATATTATCTAAGCACAGTGGAATTAAATTAATAATTAATAACAGAAACAGAAATTAACTGGGAAACTCATAAATAAGCAGAAATTTAACAACACATTCCTAAAACCAATGGATCAAAAAGAAATCAAAAGAGAAATTCCAAAATATTTGAGATGAACAAAAATAAAGACATAACATACCAAAATTTATGGTAAGCAATATTAAGAGGAATTTTTTCTGGCTGCAAATACCTACACTTTCAAAAAAGAAAGATCTTAAATAAATAACCTAATCTTCCACCTTAAGACGCTGGGAAAAAAAAAAAAAAGAGCAACCTAAACCTAAAGCAAGCCAAAGGAAGGAAACAGTAAAGATTAGAGTGAACATTAATGAAATAGAGAATAGCAAAGCAATAGAGAAAAATCAACGAAACAGAAAGCTGATTCTTTAAAGAGACCAAAAAAAAAAAAAAAAAAAAAAAAAAGGAGGGGAGGGGACAGAGGGAAGGAAAATCATATTAATGTAATCGGAAATGAAAGAGGGAATATTACTATTAAGCTTACAGAAATAAAAAGGATCATAAAGGAATACTAGGAAAAATTATATGTGACTAAATTAGACAACTTAAATATACAAATTCCTAGAATGACACAAAAAATGAAACTGGCTCAAGAAGAAATAGACAATCTAAATAGATGAAAATAGGTAATGAGATTCATTAGAAAAAGAAACTTCCCACAAAGAAAAGCCCAGGCCCAGATGACTTCACTGGTGAATTCTACCAAACACTTAAAGAAGAATTAATACCAATTCTTCACAAACACTTCAAAAAATCAGAAGAGGCTGGAACACTTCCCAACTCATTCTATGAGGCCCTGATGCAATAGCAGTCAAAGACATTGCAAGAAAACTATAGATCACTATTTCTTATAGATACAAAAATCCTCAACAAAATACTAGTAAATTGAATATTCTAACATGAAAATGACTATATACTATGGCCAAGTGGATTTTATCCCAGGAATGCAAGGGCGGTTTAACATCTGCAAATCACTTAGTATAATATACTATATTAATAGAGTAAAAACAAAAACTCACACAATCATCTCAATAGATACAGAGAAAAAAATCTGACAAAATCCAACAGCCATTCATGATAAAAACATTCAACAAACTAGGAATAGAAGGGAACTGTTTCAGCCTGATAAACAGTATCTTCAAAAAAACCTACAGACAGTATCAAACTTAATCGTTAAAGACTGGATGCAGCCGGGCGTGGTGGCTCACGCCTGTAATCCCAGCACTTTGGGAGGCTGAGGTGGGTGGATTATGAGGTCAGGAGATTGAGACTATCCTGGCTAACACAGTGAAACCCCTTCTCTACTAAAAATACAAAAAATTAGCTGGGCGTGATGGTGGGTGCCTGTAATGCCAGTTACTTGGGAGGCTGAGGCAAGAGAATGGCGTGAACCTGGGAGGTGGAGCTTGCAGTGAGCTGAGAGCACGCCACTGCACTCAAGCCTGGATGACAGAGCGAGACTCCTTCTCAAAAAAAAAAAAAAAAAAAAAAAAAAAAAAGACTGGATGCTTTCTCCCTAAGATTAGGAATAAGGCAAGGATCTGCTCCCATCCCTTATGTTTGACATGAGACTAGAGGTTCTAGCCTTGGCAATTAGGCAAGGAAAATAAGTTACAGGCATTCACAGATTCGAAAGGAAGGCTAAAACTACCTCTATTGCAGATGTCATGATCTTATATATAGAAAATCCTAAGGAATTCACTAAAAACACTGATAAAATTTGGATATTTGTCTCCTCCAAATCTCATGTTGAAATGTAATCCCCAGTGTTGAAGGTGGGACCTGGTGGGAGGTGCTTGGATCATTGGGGCATATCCCTCATGAATGGTTTAGTGACATCCCCTTGGTGATGAGTGAGTTCATGAGAGATCTGGTTGTTTAACAGTGTGTGGCATCTCTCACCCCCTCTCTTGCTCCTGCTCTCACCATGTGATGCGCCTACTAACCCTTCATCTTCCACCACGATTGTAAACTTCCTGAACCCTTACCAGAAGCAGATGCCAGCATCACGCTTCCTGTACACCCTGCAGAACCATGAGCCAATTAAACTTTCTTTCTTTATAAATTACTCAGTCTCAGGTATTCGTTTATAGCAATGCCAGAATAACCCAATACAAAAACTATTGGAACTAATAAGTGGGTTTGGCAAGGTTGCAGGAGACAAGATCAGTATGCAAAAATTAATTGTATTTCTATACATTTGGAATGAACAATCCAAAAATGAAGTTAGGAAAATAATTCAATTTACAATAGCATCAAAAAGAAGAAAATTTTTCAGAAATATTTAACAAAAGAAGTGCAAAAGTTATATTCTGAAAACTATAAAACATTCTTGAAACAAATTAAAAACAACCTAAATAAATGGAAAATATCTCATGCTCAAGAATTGGAAGGCTTAATACTGTTAAGATGGCAACAGTCCTCACATTGATCTATAAATTCAGTGCAGTCCCTATGAGGATCCCAGATGGCTTCTTGTAGAAATTGAAAAGCTGACTGTAAAATCCATATAGAATTGCAAGGGATACAGACTACCCAAAACAATCTTGATAAAGAAGACTAAAGTTGTAAGATTCACAATTCCCAATTTTAAAACTTGCTACAAAGCAGCAGTAATCAAGACAGTGTGGTACTGGCATAAAGACAGACAGCTAAATCAACGGAACAGAATTGGGAGTCCTGAAACAAACCCATGTGTCAACTGA